ATCGCTCGTACGCGGAGATTGCCCGTGATATCCTTTTGTTTCTCTTGCTCCAGTGAATAGTTGGTTTGATCGTATGATTTTTCGTTTAACGCTGCACGCGCCTACGTTGCCGCGAAGAACTAAAACTATTCTCGATCGATAACCGATTAAAATAACAGCGTATCAAGCAAACAAACATTGATTTTAATCAGCAAAGCTCAATTGGCTGTAAAAATTGACAATAGTTGAATTGCAATGCTGCCAGCGTTACAAATAAATAATCAACGTAATAGCCGCGCTACAAATGAAAAATGTTGGAAGCGCAGCAATATTGTACGCGAATTATCAAAGTTCACGTGCATTCTTGATCGTAAGCGCTTTGTATATCCGAACGATACAAGTTAATTGCAAAAACCGTGCCGTGCTGCATCGATTTCAAATATTTTTCAACGGCAACATCAAACAAAATTCATTACTGTTTTAATTAAAAGCTTCGCATTTGCGCAATAACAACAACAGTATCGATCAGATTATCAATTTCGAGTGTATATAGAACGATGTCACAGCTATTTTCAAATGGAAATAAACAAAAATAGAATCAGTACCAATAAATCTTTAGCGAGTTATCTTCTGATCTTTTGCGCGACCGCAGTCAATATACAAATATCACAGAGGCATTCACGAATCGATGCGACATTAAAAAAAGTAAAAAGTGATGCGAGAACCGCAAATACCTTTATAATTATAGTCTACCTAGATATCATGGTTTCTGCTCCGAATTTCTTATTTTCACGTATATAGCTCAGAAAGCGGTATGACATAACTTTATTTCCGGAATAGAAAGTTTTTGCCAATGTCCTCGGGCGAATTTTCACATATGAAAAGAGGAGTGTAGCCGAGAAATTTTCCGAGCTCAAGGGGTTGGCAAAAATTTCTTCGGTGTATTCGTCTCGATTGTAATATTGCAATTACTTATTGGACGACCGTGAGACTATGTGTATGTGCATTTGTCAAAATGAATTTTAACGAACGAAATATTTATACAGTTAATCTATTCTTAGATATGCACGAAATCAGCCTTCGCGTGAAAGGCAATACAATCCGTAGTTACTTCGTGATTTAGGGTCAAAACAACATCAACGTCAAAGTCCCCGTTCTTCATTATCGTCACGAGTAGCAGCAATTCCAATCTTGTCAGATTCGAAGCACCTACAGGCACACGCACACATCGACCGCCCAAAGACCGCAGATAATCTTCGTCCCGTGCGAGTAGCAGCACTACCCAGTAACTTCTTGTTGGTTCCCTGCTGCGCTAAGATACGAACTTTGTTTTGCGCCACTTACTCCGCGTTTGAAATTTTTTCGTTCTTCTCCTTGTCGTTGCAACTCAATTACAGGGTATTTTCCGAAAAGAAAAATGACGCGCGAGGTAATATTTTTTGCGCGTGATTGAACGCATTCTCGTTATTTTCTTCCCTTATACACGACAATCGGATCATCGGATTATCCAAATTGAAAATTGCTTCAAAGCACGTCATGTTAACTTTGTTATCTCGTTGAATGTACAGGCAAGCAGATACTTTGTGACTGATTTGATTAATGAGATAATACTGTGCTCCCAGAATGAAAATTTTATTTTATAAATAAATTTTTTCTACGTTTTCATATATAGATCGGATGCACAAAGAAAATCCGGACAAAATTTTGTTAAAATTAACAGGATTTTAATTATTCTTTTATATTCACCGACAAAATTAAATATATTATATGTTCAGAGCAAAAGTAGATTGCAAAATGGTGATTTAATTACATTTCAAAATTACAATATATATAAGATTATTTCATGGATTCAAGGAGAACACGATACGCGTGGAAATATAATATAATTAAATAATATTTCTACTTGATTATATTCTCTTTGATTAAATAAAAAAATTAATTTATCATAATGATTATTAAACTATGTATTGCATTAACCTCAAGATCAAGTATAGTCATGCTAGTTGCCTGATCAAGTCAGCAATTTATTAGAGTAATGAGATTCGAATTACCAAATGGATGCTGATTAATCACCTTTATTACATATGTTTTTCGCTATGACCAGAGCCATCGATATTTGGTTATGTCAAATATTTGAAAACATGACTACGTCAAGTCGATCGAGTTCACGCCATCTTCACATTAACGTCATGACCAGGGACGCTACAACTTAAAGCGAAAAGTGGAAGAGTTGGCTCGAAAGCTTCACAGAGACGAGGTCACCACCGTCGCTCGCGATCACAGTCTCGGTGCCAACGTTTGCGACGGCAGCACCGCTTACGGTCGGGATCACGCCGGCGGATCCGTTACTGCCACAGCTGAAGACACAGCTGAGAACGCAGCTACGCGGAATCACGGTCAGCTAATTACGAGCAATGCCGGCTTAGGTGTCTTGATTACACTAGTGGTGATGATTTCGACTCGGATACGGTTGTATCTACGGATGATCTAGCTGAAGTACGATGCTGTGCTAATGCCATTACATGCAATAATCCGTATAGAGCGTGCCCATTAGTATCGCTTTAGTCAGATAAAGTTTCTACTGAAAAAATGAAAAACAGCTTCAATACAATGTAACGACCGACGGAAGTCCAAGATAGAGACAAATTGAATTCTTCGTGCTTACTAAGAGAAGCGCTGAATAATAACATTGTCGGTCCTAATTTCCGTGTGGAAATTCCACCTTCGGTGGGACCCTATTAATTAAACGTGCTTTGATTGGAAATAGAAGCTCAACAAGTCCAATAAATATTCTGCTTCAGCAAAATGCAATATGCTGAACACGCTTACGCTCAACCTTGAAGTTAAAGCAGTCATGTTCAAATATTCAATCAGAAAAGATTGCATACAAGATTAGATGCAACGATAGTTCAGAGCTGGCATGTGCGATAATGCTGAAATATAAATATAAATCACAACTTTGAAACATCGGAAAACAAGAACACAAACCAATAAGCTTAATATCAAGATCGTGATTCGGGTAATTTCAAATCTAAGGCTGTTGTCAGGAAAGATTCGAAGTCGACCCTCAGGGACGGACATCAAGTTATCACGCTCTTTTCGGAGCCATCAAAGACCTCCTCGTTATTGATAACTGCAACTCAAACCTCCTCGGTTTGGCGCCACATAAACCAAATTAATCGACAAAAGAAATTACTTCTTGCAAAAAGTTATTATAGAATTATGTGAGAAAGATACTACAATTGAATGTCGTCCATTAAATGAAAGTTTATTCCGTCTTGTTTTCTGTGAGAAAAGTCCACCGTTGATAAAAGATCCTTATTTAACCTGAAGAAACAGATTTTTTTACACTCATTCATTATCAGAAAATGACTATGTGGCAATAATTAATTTGAAAAACGCAAGCTATAAATTCGATAAAGGTTATGAATAAAAAAAAGCGTAACCATTAGATAATTCGAATTTATCTCTCTAAAAAATAGCTGACTAGATCTGACAATTGGCGTGACTACATTTGATCTTTTCGGACAAGCCATAACTAATATGATTACAATCGAACTGCATATACAGATAACTTCTTCCTTTTTTTTCACTCAACTCAAGAGAATATGTAGCTAAAAATTAAAAACCCAATCATATTTTGAATTGTTTCAGATATGAAATGTTTTTATATTCATGACAAACGTCGCTAAAAATTATAATAAATTGAAACTATTTTCTCACTCAAGTAACAAAAAAGTTCGTAGAGTATACTAAATTTCACGTAACTATAAATATATTTTAAACAAGTAATAAAAATTATTGTTTTTCGCGCATACGAAATGATGACAACTTGATCAATATGCAATAATGAGCCCCATGAAATGAAATACGAAATTTTGAAATGAACATCATGGAGTCACGAAACGTCGAGGTGTATCGCGCATCGTAAGCATGAGCTGTCCATATAACATGTCGGAAACAATAAAAGAACAAAATAGCATTACGAGATCTTGTTTCTTAATGCTATTAAATCCAACCGAGGAATTTATATACCAAGCGAGCTACATTTTCATTTCTAATTCAATTATACGATATGATACTATTGTCCCTTAGATGGTTATACACCTATATAATCGGAAATTCATTGGAAATAATCCATTGACTTTGAATTTATTATGTAATAATTTGACACCACATAGTCATTATTGTATCGCGTGTGACGTTTCTTTTGACAGGTTGAATATATTGACAAGTCATATCTACTAGGCGTATCCACTATAATGTGTTCAATGCAAATAACATTGCACCGAATGAAAAGATGATTGCTTAATGAAAAATATCTTATCGAGATATTGTCGTGGAGGATAGAGTGTAAGGCTCATAAAAAATACCTTAGTATGTTAATTGAAGATAAGAATATAATAAAGCTTTTTGCAAAAATTCAAAATTGAAGTGATTCAATTTTCTTATACAATCTTTTCGATAAAAATTATTCTGGTTTGGTTCTACGTAGTTCCACCCAGATATTTTTTTAAGCCTTATTTGACTCATTGCAATTTCACACAGCCCATCACCATTCGACATTACTGACTTTCACCTCCAATTGCCATTCCTATATCTTTAAAATTAAAAAAATACTCAATAATTCGCTTAATAATTAAACCGTCTGATTACGTCTGATTTCGATTCTTCTTATCAACGTTAATCATACTTAATTATTTTGGTTTCTAATAAAAGTTTCCTGAAATTGACACGTTAATACTAATATATTAAATGTTACCACGAACGCGTTTAAACATCACCAGGAGTAATTAATACTAGCAATATTTAGTATAATTATAGGTAAAATGTAGAGTGTTTCATTCTTTTAAAATATCAGAGCCCCACGCCCTTAAGAGTTTATTAGCAGCATCAAAGAAAATAGCCAACAATATTGCAATCTCTGTAAAAACTAAAACTCAATCTTCTCGAGAAAATAGCTGGCCACCGAGGTTATCCAAGCATCAAGCAATATCGTTTGAAAAAAAAATCAAACGCACCTGCAGTTGGAAATCAGCACACAGAGACAAATGCATGCGTCCACTGGTAAAATTCAGTACTTATTGCAAACGAAAATAGTACGATCGCACAGAGATCAAACGACACCTGCCACCACTTTCCATGTGTCGCACATTTTGATTTAAGACTACGAATACAAGTGAGTTTAGTGGACTCTGTAATCTCACATGTTATATATAATAATACACTCGCGCACTTTGTGGACAAGTAACGTCGAGCACGACTCGACAACGCGCAGAGCCGGACTGCCGGTTCGACTGCTTGCTTGGCTATATTGCTGCTACTGCTGCTGCTGGCTAGCGACGCGCGCAGAATGAGGATCGTCTAAGTGGGGCGCGGCGCTACTGCCTGCTGTGCGTCTGATTTAGTTCAGAGAGAGAGAGAGAGAGACAGACAGACAGAGAGAGAGAAATAGAGAAAGCAAGAGAGATGAGAGTTAAAGAAGAAAAACGAAGAAAAAATGGAAATTGATGTATTTGATTGATTGGTATCGCTTGAGAGTTTCTTCTTTACTTCAAGCTGAGCATCTGTGGCAAACTCTCGTTATTTTTGCCGAAGAGGAAGAGAAGATAAGCATAAGGTTGATGATTGTGCGAAAAAATAAAATTGTATCATTGGATAACACTAAATTCTGCGAGTACTTTTTGATGGACTGAAGATATGAGGGAGATTGAAATAAGAGAAAGAGAGAGGGAACGAGAGAGAGAGAGAGAGAACGATAGTATGATAGTGCAATTATATAGGAATGAGGAAAAGTAACGAGGATAATGGGAGTGAGAGAAGGTTATGGACTTTACTGTAAGTTTAGGTAAGGATAATATATGCGGACAAAGGAAGTTTATCTAACGCTCATGAAATTTTTTGGATGATTCTTGATGTTATCTGTTAATAACTGATTCTTCTATTTCTTTTTATTCAGAATGATTTGATCTAAAGCCTTGAAAAAATTGTATTTAGCATGACTATATTTCACCGGTGGAAATTAAGCTTTGATCTTTAAAAGAAATTTGTACACTAGATAGCCTAAAAAAAATTAGAGTTTTACTATCAAAGAGAAAGAGTCTTTCAAAATTTCAACAGTCTTTGCTGATATTGACATTTGTAACAAACGAATCCCTGCATCGACAAAGAGCGATAGAAGACCGAAAAGCCAAAAACACTTCTAACTCCACACATGCGCGCGCGCACACACACACACCATTTTCTAGTGACTTTGCCATGTTTAATTGATATTTTTTCAATTTTTGTATTAACATATGCTATTGATTGAAAAATTACGATTCAAAACCAATCGTTTCTCTGGATTAAGTTACGATTGACAAAAAAGATTTTGTGAAAATTAAATAAGAAAAAGCAAGTGATTTTATTAAAGAATAATAGTTGCGAGAGTTTATTTTACAATAATTGTCAAATTAAGTTTTTAATTTAATATATTATTGATAAAGAAGATAACGAGGAAACGAGTATAAGTTCGTTAACTTACTAATAACAGCAAAAATTCAACGAGAACCAAACTTCGCAGCAGATAATCGAGGATTTACACAATGAGAATCTGCTAAAAGTTTAATAAGAAACAAGAGCTCGTACAATCACGTGAAATGATCAATATTAAAAACAATATTATGATATATCAATATTTTTATCAATATTAATACTAAAAAATAATCGGAGTAATTTGACAAAACAAGGAAAACTTTAATATCGTACAGAGTTGCTGTATTCAACGTTGGAACCTGCAGAATGAGATGAAGGAATGAGTGAAAAAATGTACAATATCCTATTTAATCCGCTTGCGGAAATGCAATAAGAGAAAGAAAAATCTTGTAGAATTAAAATTGAGATGTTTTTCATTTTGAATAACAACTAGGTATGTAAAAAAGCATTTAACTTACAAACGACAAGTATTATATTCAATGTTGTAGAAATATATATATATATATATATGTCTCAACTGTTGGCAGCCAGTGAACGATACGATGAAAATCCGAAAAAAAGTTGAAGATGGAACAGAAGAAAACGAATTTCAAGCTGGGTTTCAGGTAGAAGATAGTCTTCGTAAGAAATAAGTCAAGGACAAAGAAACGGATCAGACGAGAGGATGTAGGAGCTTTGTTAGATTTAGGAGGAAGTTGTTTTGAAGGGGAAAGATTACCGATAAGCAGCAATGACAGTAATGCCATTTAAAAGTCTTAACCTATTGGAAAAATAATTATTTCCAAAGTATGAGACTTATTCTCTTTCAGTCATGTCAAATCATGGCAAAGAAAACATTAATATCACGATATTTCTGCAGTGCGCGTATGAGATTTCCAATTTATAAAAGTAGTCAAGCTCAAAGCGAAAGACAAAGAGAAGAGGAAGAAAGTATCAACGAGCAATATTTCAGTGCCGGGAAGAAAAGCTGAGCGGAACACAGGTAGTAACGATGACATTTGAGGAAGACGAATGAAAAAAAAATAACCAAGCAACTAGCACACAAATTTGAAAGCAATTTAAGACGATTCCTTAAGAGTGGAATAAGAGAATGATTTGAAATCAGATGATGTTTAAACGAGTAAAAAGCTCCGCAAGGTTAATGGAAATTGTAAGTAAATGTCAAAGTATAAAAGCTCCATTATGCTTCATGTTACAAAATATAATTGAATTAAGATTTGAAATTTGAAAATAATACTTTGTGCACTTTTTGCCGTTTATCTCTTAATATGGAAACTTTGATATTCAAAGTTTCGTATAGTCAGTTCAGTAATTAGCTTGAAAACAAGGTCTTAACTTTCAGCAAGATTAATTACTTGTTATAAACTACTGCTCCCGATTGAACTAGTGAAGTATCTATTACAAGGCCAGTAGATTTTTGAATCTGACCCACTCAATCCAATAAAAAATATAAAATAATATTAAGTCACATTCAAAGTCAAATCTGCAATTCATGCAGCTACTTCAAAACAATATATAATTCAAAGCAATGTCAAATGAAAAAAAGTAATTAAACGTAGTGTAAGACTTAAAAACAAACGACGAAAGAGTGGATATCGCGAAGTAGGAATTTGCAAAGAGAAAATGGAAAAGGGAAATCGAGCGAGAAGTCTCTCGGGCAGGAGAGGAAAATTCGAGGGAAGTGTTTAAGAGCGAAGAGAAAATCCGAAAGGAAAAAGCCCGAGGAAAGAAGACTGGATCCGGCTCGACAAAGAAAAATCCACAAGACAGAAGTAGAGAGAGAGAGAGAGAGAGAGAGAGTGAGAGAGAAGCACATGCTATGGTAAGGAGAGGGACAAAAACAGAGAGTCATTCCAACCAGCGCGCACGAGAGAAAAGAGATAAAGGATGAAGCTCACGGGAAGAAGAAAGAAGAGAGAGAAAATGCAGAAAAAAAGAACATTCGCGTGCGGGTTTATCGCTACCTGAATGGACTGCTTTTTGCATGCAGGCAATTTCGAATTTTAGGTGAAAGAGGTAGTAGTATGGTGCATCTCCGATTCTCTCTCTCTCTCTCTCTCTCTCTCTCTCTCTCTCGCGCGCGCGCGTTCTCTTTCCATGGTTCTCGATCTTAGGAATGAAAAATTTTTCGTGCGATTTCAGTCTCAACAATCATTCGCGCGTACCTTCGTATTGTACTGTTCCATCCTACGCGTCGAATTGCTGCGAGTTTCTGTAAATACCACGAGGCTCTCAGAATTGAAATAACGTCGAGTTTTAATCACCTGTCAGAATAAAATCTCAGTAGACTACTGAATCATCCAAATGAAAATGTTAACACGTCGTACTTGACTAGTTGGAGGTGTATGCGTCTGACCAAACGTTGATCCGACTACTAGTACATCACCTTATCGTAAACCACAATCACGGAATATTTACTTTAAAATACGTATATTTCGTCTATTGAAACGTACTTATTACGAGATGACTCGAGTTTCAGGATATTCGCGCTCACTCCGTAAATAGCCATATCTCGAGCACTAACGTGTATACAGCATTTCTTTTTTTCTTCTTTCGTTTCTCCATTTCCAAGTTCTACGTATACACAAGCGAAAGTCATCCAATCTCCATAAATCAAGCAAATGGATCGACTGCGAGGTATTATAGACAACATGAAAGGGTTTTATCTTACAGATGTAGCGTCCGTAAGGTGAAATTCAACGAGTGACATACTAACCACACGACGGAGAGTAGCGATATAACGTCGGTAATCTCAGTTTTAACTATTATTCGCTAGTTGGCGTTGCGCGCCGTATATTTGCGTTAGGATAAAGGAGGTTGGTAGTGGTTAGGCTCTGCGCGCTGTCAGACCGCTTGAAATACCTTTATGAGGATCTCCTCGGTGAGCCCGTCCAGCTTCGCGGAGATTACATGCTGGATTTTAAGCTTGTACACCGACGACGTACTTCACTCGTGAGTATCTAGGCGCGCGGCTTTTTGAAAATTGTCTAATGATAAGGTACATTTTACATTCCGCTCAGCCCCAGTAAGGTTTATGCATATTTTCGTTGTTTATAAACTGGGGCGCTCGATATATAAAAGCTAAAGATATCATCGCCGTTTCGACAATTATTTATTCCGGATTTGGTACTCGATGTATGTGAATGAGTGAACAGGAAATGTTAACTTTTAATCGTAAAGGTAACTCTAATTTTCTTTATTTTATTTTTTTATCACTACTACATTAACGTCGTATTCTGAGACTCCAGTATTTTGCATCTTTTAATTGTGATTTTATTATTCTTAAATCAATGTAGTAAATTGAATACACATCGCTCACATATTATACCAATTATTGAACAGATGCTTTCAAATTATTGATTATTTCGTCAAAATTGTTGTTGTTTTGAATAAAGCCTTTGTTAATCTATATGTTTATTGATTAGAACGCAATAAGTCACAATAAGCAATCACTTTATAAATGTTGAGTTTCTTTTTCTTCAACAAACCCTACATGAAGCAATTACTTTTCTAATTCATTATAAATCACAAAGGTTACAGCGACTATATTGCAATCCAATAGTTCCACTCAGAGAAAACCACAGCGCATATCCAAATTGAATCGTCAATTAACCTCTCACGCTCGTCGCACGAATATTGGAATCTGCGGGACTGATCAGAAAGAAAAGGTTGGCATCGAGAGCTAATCCAAGCGTCAAAATCGGCCCCTTTTAACTGTGAGCAGTAGCCATTTGTCTAAAGGGATTAGGAAATAAAAAAAAGAGAAGAAGGCTTATCAACCGCGTAGGA